GATACAAATATGATACAGGTTTTTTTTTTTATATATAAAATCATTTACAATTTAAGTACAATTTGGTTTAAAAAAAAAGAAAAATCCCTTTGTACAAATTAATATTTACAAAATAGGATGTAAACGAAAAAAAAATGGTAATTAAAATTGTACAAAATGAGCAATAAACAATCGCGACAAAAATCAAGTGTAATGTGTATGAATTTTTTTAAAAGTAACCTGAATGAAATGCATATATATCATCGGTTAACCATGTAATGCTAAATGTAAATAATTCAGTTAATTCAGCGGAATTTAAAAGTTAAAGTCAATTTAACTTGTTTGTTAATATCTTGCTGAGGAAGAATTTGAAATAATTTGCTCTTCCAATTCATCAACATTGGAATTAGTTATAAGGCCTTTATCTTTACCATACGAGCATTCTTCGCTATCATCCCCGAGAATATACTGTCGTATATCGTGCATTGTAATACAATCGAATATGAAGGTATGCATAAGAACACCTATCAACTGATAGAAATGTATATAAAATAGTGTGAAAAAAATAACACAATCAGATTATAAAGGGTAAATTAAATGAAATAATCAAATTACCTGAACGAATCTTGAAAAAAGTACGATTTTGGCCACATAAAATAATTGGGGGCCAAATCGATTCATTAAAATGATATTATAACAATTATCAACAAATTCACTGGATCGATCAATTATTGAATATTCATTGCATGAAAACTAATAAAAAAAAAAAAAACCAATATAAATGAGATTGAAATGATACGTGAAACTAAACAAATAAAACAAATAAATTACGGTGTTACCTCATATTCGAATTCTTTTATCAGATCAGGATCCAAATTATAAGCTTTTTGTAATGAACCATTTAGAATTTTTAAAATCCAACTGTTACTAAACAACACGTTATATGCAGCTGTAACAGTTTGGATCACAGTGAATGCAATAAGGAACATGGAAATCTATAAAGAAAAGGTGTAGAGAGGTTAAGGGTTTATGCAATAATCAATAAGTGCAGTAGATCAAATGTATGCTATATTAAATAGAAACAAATCAAAAGTAACGAAATATTAAGGTTATAAAAAAAGGATACAAATTGACCAACAACGTTATTTTTTCGCATAAAATTAAATACACCAAACAAAGTAATTATCCATGCGCACATAACGCATACAAAGTCACCATTAAATGTAAGGTGAGGAGTTAAAACAATTCCTGGTAAAACTTGACTGTCTTCCGGTGATATTACTGCGGTAAAAGTTAAGGATCGATTACGATTTTGCGCTAGAGATAAAATACTTGTGGGAATCTAATTGGATATAAAAGTCGAAATAAATAACGATAAATGGAAAAGAATATTAGAATATAAAAGAATATAATAAAAGAATATAAAAAGAATATAAAAAGAATATGAAATAATAAAGGAAACATACGGCTGTCAAAAGGATTGCCATGGTTACCAATAACCATTGAAAAAGTTCAATTCTTTGTGAACTGTTCAAACCAAAGAATACAAAATGATTTATTTGTTGTCCAAATATTGACATTTTTTTTTATATATGAATATCTATAACGGAATAAAAAATATGATTTTTTTTTTTTAAATCCTTTTTTATTTTTTTTAAAAAAAAATTTTATTTTTGAAATGATTTTTATTTTTTTAAGGAAAAAAAATAGTGTTCTCAAGTGTTTATATACGAAAATGTTCGTTGCGGAAAAAATGGGGGATGAAAAAAAAGGGAATAAAAATTATTCAAATTACAGGATATTGACAGGTAGTTTAATACAGTACAGTATTTGCATTTACCATGCACATAAATAAATACACAATAGGATTAGGATGTACGGTAAATCATTAAAAACGTACAGTATTTTAATAGATTAAAATTCCGCTGTTGTGAATTAGTTAGTAGTGTAAGTGCGTACGTACGTACTTAGGCATTGCGTAAAAATTGAGCGCTAAGCGCGAAATTAAAACCGAACGGAGGCAAAAGAACGGCAAAAAATATATCGATATATGAAACAATAATATTTTAAGGGACAGGATATTCTTATAATAATAATAAAGGACCCTATTGCATCATTTCTGTCACTCTGTCTGATGGTGTTTGTGATCCCATGCAAGATTACCCAATCCGAGTTTTGAAGAAAAAAAAAAAAAAAGTGGGGAAAAAAAAATGGAAGTAATTGGAAATATGTCTTACGTAACTATCTTTTTAAGAAAAACGGTCCGATTCATCAACTACGGTTACTATACGGTTATACGTATCCATTTTTACCATTTTCACGGGTTTGATCGTCAGGCGATCGTAGAACAGATCGATTTCATTATTTATATATTGTAATATATAGATATTGATATTGTACAGATTGTAACACGTCAATAATAAGCAATCTCATTTTCTGCACTATGACTAAACAGTCAAGACAGTAAGACAGTATTCTCGATCATTTACGTTCAGTCATGGGGTTCTCACTTTAATAGACATTTTTTTTTATATAGGGACCTGATTTTTTGATTTTTAATTTTTGAGGTTTAGGTTACACATTTCTAATAATAAAAAGAATATTAATAACATGACAATATTAAACCTTAGAATAGGTTGCTTAATAAAATAAAATAAAAATAAAATATACCATATACAGAATACAAGTAAAACTTCAAGCTTTTTTGATTCATATAATCATAAAAAAATAGCAAGCAGAATGAAATATTATTATTTAAATACAGTATATACCTTAAGATTTATCTAAAAAGAGGCTTATTAATCAGACTATGTACACAAGTTTTGATCAAAAATTTTTTTTGAGCTACACAAATTTATCCAATTCCAGAAATGTTTAGTGAATGCAATGCTTGACGTTAGGCATCACTAAGCAGGAGTTATCGTTAAGTGCCGATTATAGTAAGCTTAGCCAATGAAATTCTTCATAATTCAAAAAGGGAAGAAAAAAGTTTAGAGACCGACGAAAGTGAAAATGATGAAAAGCAAATCATATTAGTAATTTTTTTTTTTTCAATAAACCTGATTGAAAAAAAATTTAAATTCTCGATGCATGGTGTAATAAGGGCTTGGGAAAAAACGCCAACAAAGTTTTACACAGATTCTGTTCCTTCCCCACATTACCACATGCAAGTTGGTCTCAATTGGTCTCAGTTGGTCTCACTTCCTTAATTCGGTTATCATGATTTTTTATACGTAGTCTTAAAAAATATGGATTTACTTATTAACAATAGTAATACAAATTACAATCACAAGATCGTGCTTTTTAAAATTACCTCCCCAAACCTACACAGTACTTTACTGTATTGTTACCGCTACGAGATCAATAATTAACATCCTCCATTATTTTGATTCTTGAATGTTCTGTAGAATATCCAACAGCCGCTTCGGCTTCAACTTGTGTATAAGGAACTTCCTTAAGTAATTTGATTCTATATATTTAAATTTTATTATTTTATTATTTTTTTTATTATAATTATAATATAAAAGTTAAAAAAAAAAAAAAACATGTGAAATTGATTAATTTTTAATTACCGTTTTTTATGTAATTTACCACGATTATGTTCATCAAGGGCTTTTTGACTTATGAAATAACGCCTAACCATTTAGAGATTATAATTAACATTATTATCTAACGTTTCTAGCGTTAATCTAGATAATTTTATTGCACTCTGAAACTCAATATTTACGCGCAAGCTACACAAGGGTAGTTTCCAAATCCTGGTAAATCTGGATCTAATTCTTGGTTTGGCTCCATTTGTTCATCTAATTCTTTCAATTCTTGGTGAATTTGGTCCAAGTCTTTGGTATAATTTCGTGTTCGTTTTTTTCTATATTGATCTCTTATACCTATTAATAAAATTTTTGATATATGTTTTTAAATATAATTTTTATATATACCAGTGGCTTTTTTTTTAAATTTAGTCTCTGTCGACAATTATTAGAATCATGATAAGTTTTACTAAAAGAATTCTAAACTTTAAA